AAAACTGTAATGCTTCAGTGACCAGGGTGGTGTCAAAGTGTTTGCTGAGACAGTCCTCAAGAGATTTTTTTTCACCCCAAGTGGTCTCTTGAATGTGCTAACAAACCCCACATTCATCAAATTTCTTATGAAAAGTAGAAAATGTTGCAAAACATGCTGAAGGTAACCTGTACTGATATTAAACAGCTACTACTATTTTTTCTACTCTGAGGTATAAATTAGAGAACAACTGAGAAGAGCTGATTGCTTAATAAAATAATTACCATTTTCAGAGCTGACCCAATTTTCATGAATAAAATTTTTAAAAACCAGGCTGGGCACAGTGGCTCATGCCTATAATCCCAGCACTTTGGAAGGTTGAGGCAAGTGGATCACTTGAGGTTGGGAGTTCGAGACCAGCCTGACCAACATGAAAAGACCTCGTCTCTACTAAAAATACAAAATTAGCCAGGCATGGTGGCAGATGCCTGTAATCCCAGCTACTCAGGAGGCTGAGGCAGGAGAATCACTTGAACCTAGAAGATGGAGGTTGCTGTGAGCCGAGACTGCACTCCAGCCTGGACAACAAGAGCAAACCTCTCTCAAAAACAAAAACAAAACCAAAAATTTAAATCTAATTATGTGAGCAAAAAAAAAAAATTGAAAAAAATTAATTTATCATGTCTGTAAATGGTCATGGCAGTAACTATTTTACAGCTTATTCTCTCTTCTCTAATAAATACACACTATGAGAGTTCATGTTTCTGGTTTTCTGAGGTAGCCACTTAATGACTAGCAATTTAAATTCATTAATATCACAGCTGAATTCATTGCAACTTCCCTACCAAAGCCCTAGAATCATTTTTATATTGCTGTAATCCGACAGCATTAAAGAAAAAAACATGAATTTTTTATAATTTCTCTTCTATTACAGCTTTATAGCATGATTTTCAAGTCTCTAATGTAGCTACTCTCAAATGCACTTTATAGGAACAATCAGACAATTTTCCTTTTGGGCAGCAGAAGGCTCCATCTAGAGCATTCCCTTACTTCTAATTCTTCAACCTGTCCTTCCTTCTTCTTAATATTTCTGCAGGCAGTCTGCAGAACACCTGGCCGGGTGCAGTGGCTCACACCTATAATCCCAACACTTTGGGAGGCTAAGGCTGCTGGATCACCTAAGGTCAGGAGTTTGAGATCAGCCTGGCCAACATGGCAAAACCCAATCTCTTCAAAAAATACAAAAATTAGCTGGGTGTAGTGGTGTGTGCCTATAATTTCAGCTACTAGGGAGGCTGAGGCACGAGAATCACTTGAACCTAGGAGGTGGAGGTTGAGGTCAGCTGAGATCTGGCCATTGCACTCTAGCTTGGGCAACAGAATGAGATTCTATCTAAAAAAAAAAAAATAAATAAAGGCGGCTGGTAGAATGTAGAATGGAAAGCTTGTGGAGGTTGTGATGATCAGCAATAATGTATATAGATTACATAATATCCAGTGTAAAACATATGCTCAATCACTATTATTATTATTGATCCTTCCAACAGGCTTAGAAGTTAGGTAGTACAGCTGTCTTAACAGAATTAAACTACAAAGATTAATTCCTTTCACATTACACTCCACAAGCAAGAATTTTTTAAATTTTTATTTATATATTTATTTTATTTATTTATTTATTTATTTATTTATTTTTGAGACAGAGGCTTGCTCTGTCACCCAGGCTGGAATGCTGTGGTGTGATCTTGGCTTACTGCCATTTCTACCTCCCAAGCTCAAGCAATTCTCCTGCCTCAGCCTCCCAAGTAACTGGGATTACAGGTACCTACCACCATATCCAGCTAATTTCTGTATTTTTAGTAGAGATGGAGTTTCACCATGTTAACCAGGCTGGCCTCGAACACCTGCCTCGGCCTCCCAAAGTGCTGGGATTACAGGTGTGAGCCACTGCATCCAGCCTATTTATTTATTTTAGGGAAAAGGTCCTGCTCTGTCACACAGGCTGGAGTGCAGTGGCATGATCATAGCTCACTACAGCCTCAAATTCCAGGGCTAAAGTGATCCACTTGCCTCAGCCTCCCAAATAGTGGGGACTACAGGCATGCACCACCACACCTGGCTAAGCTTAAATTTTTATTTACAAGCCATTTACTTACAGGAATCGCAAAACAACTTCAATTTTTTTTTTTGAGATGAAGTTTCGCTCTTGTCACCCAGGTTGGAGTGCAGTGGCGCAATCTCAGCTCACTGCAATCTCTGCTTCCGGGTTCAAGTGATTCTCCTGCCTCAGCCTCCTGAATAGTAGAGATTACAGGCATGCACCATCATGCCTGGCTAATTTTGTATTTTTAGTAGAGATGGGGTTTCACCATGTTGGCCATGATTGGTCTCTAACTACTGACCTCAGGTGATCTGTCCACCTCAGCCTCCCAAAGTGCTGGGATTACAGGCGTGAGCCATCACACCCGGCCTCAACATCAATTTGTTTACAATATAGGCAGGCAGGATAGGAAAGGGAATTAGGTATGAGACAGACTTATAATCTTTCCTATTCTAGTCAGAATTGAAGACTTTGTCTGCCATCTACAAAATGAGTCCATCAGACCTAAATGTTATGCAAAGATATTCTTTGTCATAAGTTTTATTATCTTCTCCTTAAGGGAGATAATAGAACCTTTCTTTCAGTGTCTTGCTCCACAGGCGGAAGAGCACCTCCTGAAGATGTGCAGCCCATGCTTGAGTAGGTGGTGAAAGCAGTTATCATGACGCAGAGGATGGTTCCGGTTTGACTTCGGCTGCTGCATTCCTGCTCTCTGGATAGTGCGAGAAGAGTGCTCTGTATCAGTGACTCACAGCAAGACAGGAAATCTCAAGCAGGTCCACCCTTCCTTCCTGCCCTCCAAAGAGCTGAGTTGCAGAACCACAGGCCACAACTACCCTAGAGTCTTGGTGAGAGGGGCTGGAGCCAAGAGTCAGAGACAGAGCAACTGCAATCGAATCTTGAAACATATTCACGTCAGGGCCCTGCTGCAACGAAAATAGGCTCTCTTTTTTCTAGAGGATATTTTTTCTGTTGAGATTTCTCTTTTCATCTTTACTCAGTATCTCCCTGGCTTATGCTGGCCTTTGTATTGTTTTTAAAAATGAAAACAACTGACTTGACATAATTCACTTGATTAGACTTCATTTATACCAAGTTTAAAAAGCATGCAAGAAATGACATCAGTCATTATCAAGCAATGCCTCCAAATGGCAAGAGGGCAGAAAGTAAAATGTAATTGCATTTACAGGCGAATTTAAAATGTAGTGTAAAATTCCTTCAACTCATGTTCTTGACGTGAGCAGCAATGATGATAATAATAAAGGCTAACAATTACCCCAAGTACTGATCTAAACGCTTTTGCAGTTTAAGTCACTTAAGGGTTACAACTACTCTTTGAGATCTATACATTATTATTGCTACCATTTTACAGATGAGGAAGCTATCAAAGTGAATGAAAGCCTCATCAGATTTCCCAAAATTGTTTTAAACCTCATAAATAGTAAACAAATAAAGGCCAAATATATAAAGTACATTTATATGTGTGTGTGAGTAATCAATAAATCTGCTGCTGTAAGAGTCAAAAAAGTAAATGATATAAAATGATGATTTATATATTTCCTGCATTTGGCCAGGTTCAGTAATCTATTTCCAATTCATTCAAAAATTAAAAAAAAAAATCCCTGCTAAAAATCAAAAGTCAAAACTCTTCAATGAGCTGTTTACAACAGACCAAATATGTCAGTAGCTTTTGACAAGTCCAATTCATTATATTCCTACAAGGTAGAAATGTCAAAAAAAAAAAAAATAGCAGAAGTCTGAATTTCTGTGTGTGAATCAACAAACTAGGTCTCAGACTGAAAAATAATTTCTTGGGAGGGTGTGTATGTGTGTGCATGTGTGCGTGTGTGTGTATGTGTGTAGAAAGAGAGCAAAACTATCTTTCAATTCTCACCTTGTTTTCCTGCTCTCCCCAAACTCAACCCAAACCTTGTATTCCAGCCAAACCAATATACTTGTATTGTTCTTGTTCACTGTCTCAGGTGTTTGAATATGGTGCTGTTTCTCTGTCTAAAAAGCCATCCTCTGTCCCCACAGCATTCCACCTAGCAGGTACCTGCAAATCCTCCAGCATTTAGAATTCTTCTATCCATCTGTTCATGTACTCCGGAAGTACGCATTGAATATCTATTATGCGAGTAGGAGAGAACAAGGTTACTGTTCTGATGGGGCATGCATTCTAGTGCAGAGAGAGATACAAAGTTAAGAAAGAGAAAAGAAAAATGGAGGAGGTATGGAAAGAGGGAAGGAAGGAAGGAAGGGAGGGAGGAAGGGGCAAGGGGGAAAGGGAGAAGGAAAGAAGGAAGGAAAAAAGGAAGGAAGGAAGGAGAGAAGGAGGAAAGGAGGGGGGAAGGAGGGAAGGAAAGAGGAAGGAAAGAAGGAAGGAAGAGAGGGATATAGGAAAAGAAAGACACTAACAAATCATGGCTAATGATAAGCAGAGTCAAATGACTTCCAGTGACTGAGTGGTTACTTACATCAGGTATCAGGAATCTAGCCACCTAAGTTGAGTTCTGAATGACAAGAAGAAGCTAATCATACAGTGATAGGAGGAATAGCATTTTGGCAACAGGAACCAGAGAGCAAGCTAGAGTTCCCAAAGAACTGAAAGGAGCCAGCATGATTGAATTACAGTCAGGGGCCAGATCCCACTGGCTTCATAAGACCAGTAAGAAATTTAAATTGAAAGTTTAAAGTGGAGGATTGATATAATCTAATCTATCACTCTGGCTGTTGAGAGCACACAATGTCAAGGAGTCAAGCGTAGAAGGGGAAATATGAGTTAGAATACAGGTGCATGAGTCAAGCCAATTCTTTCTTCTCTGTGCTCACACATTTTGTAAATACTCAATATTAACATTAACATGTTCTTTAAAAACTGGTTTATTTTATTTCATTTTATTTAAAAACTGGTTTTCTTTCCTTGTACTTAGATAATAAGATCCTCACAAGCAGGCCTGAATCATCACGTGCAATAAACATTTCCGGCATGAATAAATCAACAACACAATTACTAAATAAAACAAGATCTGTCCCAGAGAAAGTTTAAAGCCTCTGAAGACAACAGACATCCGTTTGAATAACCACATAACAAAGAGAATCATTTACATTGCAGAACACAGAGAAAGAATTATACTTGAGGGCCGAGGAGGGAGAAAGCATATTACTCAAATAAAGATGTGATACTGAATTAGAATATTATGGTCCGATGTTCTTTAACACAGTACAGTGTTAAAACAAAGTGGCAGGAGTTGGACAGAGAACAGATTGAGATGTCTTCCACTTCTGATGTTTCACAGTTTCAGTTTATGGTTGTATTTACACTCAAGAATTCTGGGTCAAGATGAAATTCAAAGGAATCTACTGGGGAAGTTATTTATCTCTGCTGAACCACTAAATAAAGAGTAAACAAGAGTGTCAGATCACTTTTGATTTGTCAAATTTCAGCAAAACCCTGACCATGGGATAAAGTGCTCACATTCTAGATGTTTCTTCTTGAAATTATAAAAAGATCAGTCATGAGGAAGAGTGAACTTTGTGTTTAGTGTACTCCCTTCATTCTATTCTGTACTTCTCTCTCCTTAGGGGTTGCCCTGTCTCTACTCAAACATTCAGGGACCTTAAATTGTACAAATGATAATCAAGGTGCTTTCTACTCAATTCCCTTCCTTCTTGCTTTGCTCCCCCTTCCCCAGCCTACTTCAGCTAGCTACATACATCAGGTAGCCTCTGCTTCACAACAAAATGTTACAAATCTTTGGGACTTAAGACAGCCACTTACTATTTCTCACAGTTTGGTGGTGATTGTGCTTCTGGATGAGGCCAGCAATTTGAAGTTGAATGATCTAAAGTGGCCTCCCTCTCACATCTGGGTCTACAGCTAGGAAAACTGGTATGTTTAAGGTTTTTCTTCATATGCTCGCTTATCCTCAAAGAGTCTTTTACATGGTGGCAAAAACATTCTCAGCAGCAGGAGGAGGTAAACCCTATATGCAAGCCCCTTTCAAGCCTCTGCACATTTTTTTTCCAGATACTGTGTCTGTCCAGCTTGTTGCCCAGGCTGGCTTCAAGCTCCTGGGCTCAAGGGATGTTCCCGCCTCAGCCTCCTAAGTAGCTGGGACTACCGGTATGCATCACCATGTCCAGTCTGCACCATATTTTTCAATGTTCCATTGGCCAAAGCAAGTTACCCAGCCAAGCCCAGGATTAAAGGATAAGAAATAAACTCAACCTTTGATAGGTGGCCTGGCAAAAATCCCACTGCAAAGGGATATAAGTAATTTGTGACCATACTTATATCCCTGTATGCAATCCCACTCATACCCATTGTGAGGGTTATAAGTAATTTGTGACCATTTTGTGATCTATTACACTATCATTTTGAGAAAATTCATCAAGTTAATTCACAATAAGGTGATAAGGACTCCTAAGAAAGTGCTTTGCTTCTTAATACGGCAAAATATCTCACCTCAAGAGAACTGAGCTTCAGAGTCAGAATTGCAGGCCCAGTGCAAATTAGAAAAAGTTGCTCTTCTGCAAAGAACTCGTGCAAGAATTCTAGTCCTGATCGTTAAGAAGCCACCTATTTGAATACCGATTCCACACACTTTCCCTCTATCCCCAACCCTTAGAAAGTTTCATTACTGTGTGCTTGAAAGGCATGATTTGACTCACAGAAGACAGTGTAGACTCTACCAAATACCTAGTATGTATACTGCTCAAGAAATACTGGTTCAATTAGTTAATTCATGTGTTTCTTTGCATGTGTGTGTGTGTGTGTGCGTCTATGAGTATATGAGTGTACTGAGAGAAAGAAAGGGAGGGTGAGCATGCACAAATACCAGCTCCATTCCAAATGCTGCCATAGGGAGTCAAAAGGCATCATGGCAGAGGGGAATTGGCATGGGTTTTAAAGTCAGATGAACATACTACCTTTGTAACCTTGGGTAAATTATTTAATGTCTCTGAGCCTTAATGTCCTCATCTATAAAATCGGCATAATACCTTTGCTATACTTTTGCTACAGGGTCATTATGAAAAATCAATCGAATGATATACACAGAACACCTATAACAACACATGACTCATTATAGACTTCTGGTAATTAGCAGGAAGCAGGAGTCAAGCCTAGATTCCCATACAAATTTCATTCTTCTCTCTCTCCTTCTTTTAGCTTTAGTGCTGCTTTCCTTCGGTTGTCTGCCTCCTTCTACCTACCAGCCCTACCTAGACCTGTCCAATTAGAGAAATAAGCATGGATGGAGATGGGGGCAGAGGGAGTGTTTTTTAGATGGAACCTGCATCTTTAAGTTCTATCAGTGAGAGCTTCTTCTACAGCAGTCTTAGATCTTTAAAAGTAAGCCTCTGACTACTCATTGTTGGTCATTATGCTGCGTAAACTCACAGCCTTAGCAACTGCCTAGACTTGGATTTGGCCTTGGTAAATTTGGCACTCAGAAATTATGGGCCGGGCGCGGTGGCTCAAGCCTGTAATCCCAGCACTTTGGGAGGCCAAGGCGGATGGATCACGAGGTCAAGAGATCGAGACCAACCTGGTCAACATGGTGAAACCCCGTCTCTACTAAAAATACAAAAAAATTAGCTGGGCATGGTGGTGCGTGCCTGTAATCCCAGCTACTCAGGAGGCTGAGGCAGGAGAATTGCCTGAACCCAGGAGGCGGAGGTTGCGGTGAGCCGAGATCGCGCCATTGCACTCCAGCCTGGGTAACAAGAGCGAAACTCCGTCCCAAAAAAAAAAAAAAAAAAAAAAAGAAATTATGGGTAAATTTTAATTAACTGTTACAGACAGAACACCATGACTTTCCTTCTTGGACCCTCAACCTCACATTCTGATGAAATGCTGATTTTAAATATATGCATATAAAAGAGAATAAGTTCATAATAAATCCCAGGATTAAGGAATTACAGATTTCTATATATTTCTCCAAGATAGTTGCAGGATGGGATCACAGACTGCCTGGATGCAAATGTCAGCTCTGCTGGTTATAACCTGTATGACTTTGAGCAACTGTGTTTCCTCATTATAAAATGAGGATAATTATAGGACGGTTGACCCTTAAACAACATGCATTTGAACTGCATGGGTCCACTTTCATGTGGATTGATTTTCAACAAAGGTAGATCAAAAATACAGTATTTGTGGAATGCGAAACTGGCCTACAATAAAGGCTTTTTGTATATGCCATTTCCTGAGGGACCAATTTGCCAAACTTGAGTATGCACAGATTTTGGCAGACGTGGGGTTCCTGGAACCAATTCCCTGTATATACATAGAGTCGACTGTAGCTACCTCATAGGGTTTCTGTGATAATTGGCCAAGTTAATCACAATATAAGCACTTAGGACAATTCCTAGAATGCTGCTTAATAAAAGTTAGATTTTGTTGTTATAAATTGAAGCCAGAGAATCCACAGCCAAGAAATTAAACAGAAGAAAGTTGCAAGTTCAAAGCTTGAAACTGGCAAGAATGCCAGGGGAAAGTGAGACAGAAATCAAGGGTACGGGTTTCACGCTTACAGTAAAGCTGTGCAAGTCCACCTTCACCCCATTCTGTACTCCCTCATCTACACACAAAGGTGATGTATACCCTTGTTTAAACTAAAACCAAAATCGTATTCTCTAAAGAAGTCAAACAACCTGCCTATAAAGGGCCAAGACCCCTGTTATGGGTACTTGGCCCATAATTGGTGCCTCTCTGTTTTAGTTGACTAAGCAATTTAGCATAAAGAGATCACCAAACAATACACAATTTTTTAAAAATGTACACCTAGTCACCTTTTTCCATGTCAAAACATAAAGCCTAAAAACTTTGTGAGAAAAGAAACAAATTATCTCTAAAGAGATCAGAATCTGACTGGTGCCAATCCCTTCCCAGCAAAATTGGTTGCTAGAGGATCATAGAAAATGCTTTAATCGTTCTGAGGGAAAGTTCTCTTGAAACTAGAATTATGGACAGATGAATTTATTTTCTTAACTCCCAGGCATACTTTCTGAGAAAAACAATTATTTGAGGATGTACCAGAGGAAAAATTAAAAGTACCCAAGACAAAGAAGATCATGGCAGCCGATAAAAAAGTAAACTTGACCTAGAAATCTAGGAAAAATAT